TTACTCGTCTATTGCATTCCGAAAAACTCCCACAAATTTTTGGGGCTGAATCCACCGGTCCAATATACCGTAACGATGGTATTATTGGTCTTTGATCCCAATAGTCGATCTCGCAAGGACCAATTTTTTTAGCCAACAGCGGCAGCTGTTCTTCGGCGCTTCTGTTTGGACAAGCCCCAACTTCATGAAAAGAAATGGCGACTGATAATATCCGATTCTGTGCTACACCTCCCTTCCTTGACTGCCGTCATTTGATGCTCAGTAGTTTTTTTCTCCCGAACTTTGTATACTATACGAATACACCATCATATTTATTTTTAACGTGTATTTCTTTTCGCTGCTGGCCGAATATGTGCATAGGCTTATCGTGACAATGCATGTAAACTGGCATTAAGTACAGTTATTATTAAAAGAAAGGGAGGCGTTTACCGGGAGAGGTGTGTCGGAAGTCTGACCTTTCGAGTAGACGCTTCTTCTACCCGTATTCTGAGACTGAAAAGTCCTGCACGCAGTTTTCTTTATATGTCGCACTTTGTTTAATGCGTGGCCCGCCAATTTAGCCTGTGTGGTGAGATGGGAGAGGCCGCCGGGGTGGGGGAGTTGCCATGTATGCCAAGAGCAACTTAACAGTTTGTGAGAGGACCGACAAGATTTCCGACGACACGGAGGCAATACGGCTGACTATGAAGGTAAGGGGATCTCAGTCCCTCGAAGCCTGGAGCAAATCCATGCTGACTTGCTTGCTCTCTCAGCTTGGAGCTCAAAATGGCTAATGGAATTCTCTCCGTCTAAATGTCGTTATATGTGTTTTGGACCTGATAGGCTACCCCAACCTGTGGTCTTTCGAGGAACACCTATGACTGAATGTACCACCATCAAGGATTTAGGTTTAAGCTACACTAGTAATCTTGATCTCTCGCCGCACGCTGACAGAATTACAGCCAAAGCTGCCCAGATTTGTGGCTTTATTTCTTACAATTTCTATCTTCCTGAAATTAAATGAAGGCTCTATCGTATGTTTGTACTTCCCATTCTCGAGTATTGTTGCCCATTCTTTGGTTTGATGAATGAAGCCAGTCGTTTAAAAATTGAAAATGTCCAAAGACGTTTTTCTAAAAAACTTTTAGATAGGGAACATCCCAATATCTCCTACTCAGATAGGTGCCAACTAACTAACCTAAAATTTTTATGGGTTCGAAGACTAGAAGCGGGCTTCTGTCTCCTCTTTCGCATTAATCATAGTTCAAATTTTCCTCGGATTTCAACACTTACCCCTAGTAGTCGCCCATACAATCTTCGCAACTCGTCTCTAATTATACCTCCTCCAGCGTCCTCCACCTCTAAGCGCTCGCTTTTTTTCGCTTCCAGGTATACTTTCCTCTGGAATAACCTTCCAATAAATATAAGATCTTCAGAAAATCTACACACCTTTAAGAGAAGGCTACGCCTTTATCTGAATACTGACTCGATTAAACTTTTATTTTCCTCATCCTTCCCAGACAACTTTTTCTATGACACTGAGAAAGGGCCACCGGGAATTTAGCATGCCGCTATTAAATTTCTGTATCTGTTCACGTTTCCTTTCTTAATGAATAGTCTCGCTACCTAAGATCCCTCACCAGAAATGTTAATTATTCCAATTTTTTAGTTCATGCATCGTGCCCTCACAGAATGCGCGCCATCGACGCTCTTGGCGAAACCTTCTGTATTCGCCATATACTAGTAGTTTGGTCGCATCTCCCTTCCCCCATCCTCAGTTGGACTCGGATGAATGAAATCGACCGCATCTGGGTTCCTATCGCCTCGAGACTGATCTTCATGATGCCCTCACTGAATGCGCTTCATCGATGCTCTTGGCGAAGCCTTCTATATTAGCCATATACTAGTAATGTGGTCGCATCTCCTCTGCCCTATCCTCGGATGGACTCTGATGAATGTAACAGACCGCATCTGGGTTCCTGTCGCCTCGAGACTGGTTGTCATCATGCCCTTACAGAATGCGCTCCATCGGTGGTCTTGACAAAGCCTTCTATATTCGCCATATACTAGTAGTCTGGTCGCATCTCCCCACATGTTCGGATGGACTCGGTTGAATGAAACTGACCGCATCTGGGTTCCTATCGGCTTGAGACTGGTTTTCAATTTCGCCACTTATTTTTCTTATTCAAGGCGATACAGGCCAGTCCTGACCGACCCGCCTACGTACCATTTTATGAAATCCGTTACACAATGCCATATACAGCTGACATTTATTTCGGCCATGTTGATGTCGGACTATATTCCATTTTGTACCACCACATGCAGGCCAGTCCTCCCTGTTTTTTTCTGATGCTATTTTTCCGAGGGGTTTTTTTTCTCCTGTTAAATCACTACAATCATTTTTAAAATTTGCTTTGGAGTTTTTTTTTCACCCCTCGTTTTTTTCATTTTTTTTTTCATTATTTTTCATTTTCATTTTGCTTAACGGACTTCTAATCTCAAAAACTATGCATTGCACATTGTGCAGATTTTGCCTACATCGTCAAAAATTTGGATGTAAATTTATTTTTACTTGCTTTGATGGGACCCCGACGGGTCTTTAATAAAATAATTGAATTGAATTTAATTGAATGTATGCGAAAGAGTACTCGTAACAGGAATCCCATTCCTGTCATGAGGAATGATAACGCTTTGGAGATACCAGACAGTACAAATAAAGCCAAGCATTTTCCTCAATTTTTTCAATCAGTTTTCACACGAGAAGCACACTTTATTCCATCTACTTCTGAGAACACGGGAAATCTCTGCATTGAAAATATTGTGTTTCGAGAAGAAGCGATTTTGGAAGAACTAAAAAGCTTGAAGGAATGTAGATCTCCCGGTCCGGACGAGATCCCAGCAAAGCTGATCTTCGAGCTTGCCCAACAGCTGGTCAAGTCACTATCCTTGCTGTGTCAGAAATCGTTTGATGCTTGAATCCTTCCAGCAGACTGGAAGACGGCCCAAATTACACTTCTTTACAAAAGCGGTAGTCATGCTCTTACGACAAACTACAGACTCGTCAGTCTGACATCAGTATGTTGCATAGTGATAGGGAAAACCGTAAAAAAGAAATTGATGGCTTATTTAGAAACCAACAGCCTCTTATCCAATGCAAAATATGGTTACCGTAGTGGAAGATCACGGTTAACGAACCTGCTATATACAATGCAAAGTTGGACAAGAGCACTGGACGCAAAACACACTGTGCATGTGGCCTATATTGATTTCCGGAAGGCTTCCAAAAGTCTTCCGCACCAGCGTCTCCTGCACAAGTTGAGAATAATGGGCATCGAGGATCTAGAATTTCCTCGTTGGCCGCTCCCAAATTGTCTGCGCAAATCAATAGCAATCAAGGCGCATGTTCATAGAGAGTGGGGTCCCACAAGGCTCGGTGCTCGGACCAACCCTCTTTCTCTTGTTCATCAATGATTGTGTAGATGAGATGGACAGTGATAATGTCATGTTTGCGGATTATATTAAAATCTGAAAAGTCATCCAGAATGCTGCCGATGAGACCAACTTCCAAGAAAATCTTTGTCGATTGGACGAGTGGTTCCGCAGATGGCTCTTGTCCTTCAATTTGAGCAAACGTACCACACTGCGCCGGGGAAACCAGACCCCTAGTACGCGGCAATACCATCTGAACGGAATGCCATTTCGAGAAGCAGAAACACAGAAAGATCTCAGAGTCTTGGTTGCAGACAGCCTAAAACCTTCTACACAATGTTGTAAGGCGGCCAAGGCCGCAACTTTTATGCTTTACATCACCATGCAGGCATTCGCAGTTTTCGACGAAAACCGCTTCTCCAAAGTCTTCGACACGTTTGTAAGGATGCATCTCGAATATGCAATTCAGGCCTGGAGACCATGAACGCATCAGGATTGCGATCTGCTCGAAAGGCTGCAGAGGCGAGCAACAAAACTAATAAGAGGTCAAAGTGCACTGCCATACGTGATCCGCTTAACTAACCTTAATCTCTATCCTCTGAGCTATAGGTAGTTGCGCGGAGACTTGATACAAACTTTCTGTATCGTGCGTGGCTTGGACTGTGCCCTTCGTTGCGATGACTTTTTCCAATTCACCACTACAACTTACCTCCGGGGACATCGCCTAAGCTACGTGTGTCCCAGGGTAGACTGAATGTGAGAAAATATTTCTTCTCCAACTGTGTCATGGAACCGTTGAATAACCTGCCCGAGATGACTGTAATGTCTTAATCTGTAGAGACATTTAAGTGTCGGCTTGACAGACATATGCTGCAGCAACAAGCGTACTATGTGACTTTTTAGCCATGAGACCAGTGACATATGTGAATCAGTGTCTGCATGCACTTAATGCTGTAATTTCTTTACGGTTTTGCTTATTTATCGATTTTTATGTACAAATAGGGAGTTCAAAGGCGTAAGCCTATTTCCCTCAAATACACTGACTGACTGATGCCCACTACCGCCACAAACTACATTGCACACTGGTCGCCGTGCCTGCTTTCAGCTTGCTACAGAGCACACGGTGGACATCGTCGACAGCGACAGTCGAAGTATCACCTATTACTCTGCCGTATTCCCACGCCTCACGTGTGTTTTCAGAAAAAGTTAAGTCGATCTCACTAATAACTGGAATTTTTTACTTGACCCTGTTCACAAATGAATTTACTGGCAAGAGAGGAAGTTATCGAAAGCAAACGTATGCTCGATAACTAGTCATATGAATCTCTGTTATGGAGTTCTGCTGAACACTTTGATTGTCATTTCTGACTTGGAAAGACCATGATATTGTGATGCCTTCTATGCCAGGCTTCTCTATTTTCCGACCTTAATCTACAGCATAGCTTTATATCCTACATGTGTCCTTGATCGTTTGCAAACTCACTACAAATGACAAAATACCCAATAACCGATCGGCCCTTCTAGTGTTTCATTTAAAACCGTTTGTTTTCCAACCGTGTCCCGTCGGTTAAGCAATCCGGTTTCTCCTACGTATGGCTGAAGAACTTGAATGGAAGAAGCTTCCGACAATTGAGAAAGTCGAGCACAAGGTTTGCGTTTTTCGTACTTCACTAACCTCTGTGACCAGCAATGGAAGGCTCGCGTTGAAGGATATGAAGAGGCTGTCAAGCTATTTTCCACTCAGCCGTCTGATAAGAGCCCTGTGTTCGGAGACTATGTAGGTCTCATGAAGAAAATGGTCGTTGACAGCAACGCGATAGCCCAGGAAAAGGCTTTGTCTGCTGTGTTGGCTTTTACGGAAAATGCGGCTATCGCAACCCGGTAAGTTAATGTTTGTCTTCTATTGTCTAGTGTTGCCTCCGACGTCTGCTCTGGGATAGTCAATAAGTGCCTTAATTCAACGCGCGCGAAAACGAAAGAAAAAGGGATTGAAATTCTTCTCCTTTATATCGAACTGGAAAAGGGGGACGGGGTTGTGGAGGAATTAATCAAGGGTCTATCAGCCAAGCAGCCGAAAATCGTTGTCGGATGCGTACAAGCTCTCAAAGAGGCCCTTTCGTAAGCGTGTTTTAGGTCTTGTTAAACAGAGTTAAGACTTTTCGGTTCGAAAGTCGTATCAATCAAGTCCGTTCTAAAGGAGACTGTTCGCCTTCTTGAGGATCGTGATGGGACCGTTCGAAATGAATCCAAGGAGCTTATTGTCGAGATGTATAGGTGGGCCGGACCTGCTATAAAACCACAACTCTCCGGACTAAAACCTGTCCAGGTACTTCTCGGTAATAACTGCATATTGCCAAGGTAACTGAACTTGAAGCGGAGTTCGCGAAGCTGCCAGCTGCCAAGCCTGTGCCAACTCGGTACCTTGTCAGCCAAAAGCCCAAGGAAGATCCACATACTGCAGAAGTGACGTCTGATAAGGCCCCTCAGGACCTCGAGAATAACGAACCACAACTTGACGCATATGCCCTCGCGGATCCAGTGAACATTTTGTCTAAAATTCCAAACGATTACTGGGGAAAGATAGTAATGCATCAGAAAATGATCATGACGATTATTTTAGGAAGACAAAAAGTGGCAGGAGCGAAAGGAGGCTCTAACTCTTGTAGAACAGTTGACAGATGTTATCAAACTCGACAACGGGGACTATTCATCCCTTATGAATTCATTAATTAAAGTAAGTGTATCACCCATCTAACTTTAGCGACCTTAGGTTATCTCGAAAGACACCAACATTCTTTTGGTTGGCCAGAGTGCCAAAATAGTTGCACAGATCGCAAATGCGCTGAGGGACGGATTCAAACCTTATGCTGTCTCAACCATAAAGGCCTGTTTTGAGAAGTTTAAAGAAAAGAAGCCGACTGTGCTGGTCGCTATTCGGGCAGCGGCGGATGCTGCCCAAAAATCGGTAATTTATTGCTCTTGTCTTCTTACTTCTTGTCTCTTGCACACTACCGATATGATGGCTGTTATTAACTAAGCAAAATGCAGTTATTTTGCAGAACTTGTTATCAACACAAGTAGTAGCGAACCGGCTTTTTCCTGCTTCCGCCTTGTCTTCATCTCTACTATGCACCAGGCATAGGTCCGATATGACTACCTTTTGGGTGTAAATATCAAATTTACCATGCTTAAGACGCAAAGACGACCCGAATCTGACTCAAAATGCTCGATATTATGAATGTGACCTGACAAAACGGTCTGTATGGAATTTTCCGCAAGACTTGCCCGGATGAGCGACTTCGCGTACTTTTAGTAAATCAAAAACCGATTTCCCGTCATCTCCACCAGCTGATGTTCAATTTGGCGTCGAAATGATCGAATTTATAGTCCAGACAGTGGGGGAAACCGAAGTAGCTCTGCTATGACAAGTACGAAATCCAGCTGCTAGTGAGGATTTGAGACAGTCCTCAGGCCAACATGACAGATATGGACCACAAAGTTTGTTCGTTCATAGTGCTTGGACATATACCCGCAGATCATACTATGTTTAAGTCGCCCCAAAATTCAAGATCCTTCATGGTAAGTGTCGTACGCGGGTGGGGGGGTTCCGTGTAAGATGATAGTCAGTCCCAACTAGTGCGAGATTGTCTTACATCTTTTTGGCCCTATTTCATTTTACAGGTAACATTGGACGGCATACAGGAGGACGTCATGGAGGCATTAAATAACAAAAATCCGGGTATTCGCGCTGAGACGGCCCTCTTTCTCAGTCGCATCTTCGCCAAAATGACCATCGTAACACTTAACAAGAAGCTACTGAAGACTTTCGTAGTGCCCCTTCTCAAATGTTCCGCCGACATGGTGCTTGAGGTGCGCGAGGCGGCCTTTTGCGCTCTTGGTACTGCCATGTTCGTTGTTACTGAGAAAAATATCTCGCCATTCCTTGCGGATATCGACAACATCCGACTCAATCGTATCAAGGAGTTCTACGAAAAAGCGGCCAATGAGAAAAAAGAAGGTAGCAGTGGCGATGCTGGTAAGTGGGCTTTCTGTCTTGCCTAAACCGTCTAAACCTCATAAATGATACTAGTTAATATTCTGTTTTCTATTACTTTCTGACTCTAAATCGCGCCGCACGCATGCTGTATCTTGTAGTGCCTTGCCACAAACATCCATGCACGCACTCAATAAAGGTGCTGGTAATTCTGTTTGGCATCGCTCATTTGTGTATGTCAAGGGAACCCTTGCAACATCAGAAAATATCTTTCTAAGCTACTTTCTAGTTAAAAGAAAATCCAGATGTTCAGAATAGTGTTCTGGTTTATCAGAAAAGGTCTCCCATGACCGTTCGGGGAGGCAAGACTAGTCCGTTAGAAACTGTCGGCTACCACGCTGAAAGGGTTATAAAAAAACCGCAAAGCCCGATGACGGCATTGTGCTATGGCGACCGTATACCGCCGTTAAATAAGTTTGCTTGCCACCGCTGCCTCGCGGTTAGGCTTTTAAGCCAAAGCGCTAGAGGGGACAAAGTCGAGCAAACAACCCAAGCGGCTGTTGGGGACCCGTCTGTATCCGAAATTCCCAAGTAACCTCATAAAGTATGTCCGACTATAGCATTACGACCCATGCTACGGCGTCCGCGGCAACCGACGCGCTCCGCATCCTTGATCCAGTGGTGCGGGCAAATAGTATACGAACTGGACTACTCAGGCGGGGACGGACTCTTGGTATTGAATGCTGAAATGTGCGAACGTTCCAGGACTCCGGTACCCAAAGTCTGACCGCACGCAGCCTTAATCAGTACAACGTGGATGTCTACTGTCTGTTTGAAGTCCGACTTCCTGACTGGATACTCAAGAGGGCCCTATACGAGGGTGACGTTGTTGAATTTGCACCCGGACACCGACTGACTGACCGCGACTATGCCGATGATATTTCCTTACTTGCTTCAAGTTTTGGTGTTCTTCAGTCTATGGTCTCACATGCGAACGAGGTCGCTAAATCAGTCGGTTTTTCCATGAACACTGGGGAAGGCTCAAGTGTTTTCAAGCTGCATCCCTGACCAAGAGAGGACACCTCTCGGGATTGATGGCTGTCAACTTGAAGAAGTAGACAGTTTTAAATACCTCGGAGCAAGGCTGCTGCCGAATGGCCAGAGCGGGGATGACATTGTCTTCCGAATTAATGCTGCCCGACGGGTTTTCTCAAGCCTCCGAAAGTGTCTATGGATCGGACACGACCCCTCCATCGCCACTAAGATTCGCGGGTACCGTGCATCAGTCCGGTTTTTCCCTCTTTATGGTTGTAAATGCTGGGCTGCGCGCGTGGAGGGCGAGCTAAAACTGGAGGTGTTCGACTACTACTGCTTGAGGACCATCCGTCGAGTGAAATATACCGACTTCGTCTTAAATTAGACAGTCCACGCTCGCTGCGACAGTATCGCAAGAATAACTCAGGCCATCCAAGAAAGACGACTGAGGTGGTTCAGGCATGTTCTTCGTCGTCCACCCCAGGAGCTCACGGTTACTGACTTAGATCCGACACCGTTGCCCCATTTGAGGCATCGAAGAGGGCGTCAACTCAAAACCTGACTCGACACAGTTCTTCAAGACATGGAGGTGATTCTTGGACTTTCGGTATTCGTTCTCCGTCGTTGGCGAAGAGAATGGGTTGAGTTGTCCAGATCTGCTGCCGCGGATCGCCACGCGTGGAGAGGTACAGCTCGGGACATCATCGAGTCCGGCTCGGTTAGGCATGATCGCAGCCGTACCAAGTACAAGTACACTGATACTCCCGCTCTGAATGATAGTGGAAAAAGAAATAGGCATTTAGTGTTTCGAAGCTGATGGTCTGCATTGAGGCCTGCGCAAAATGCCCTATGCACAATGTTTCTTGCTTATTTTCGTAGTCACTAAAAGAGCAGATGACGAAAATCACAGAAGTGTCAGGTTATTTTGCGACACTTGATGTCCTTGCAAACATCCTCTAGTGAAGATCAGTTAAAGCCAGAAGACAACGGATTTATCATTTACTTGCCGCTCATAGGCAGGACCGTGGTATTATTTAAAAAAACTGGACTGAGTACTTTTCTGCCCACTTTGAGTCGACTTTTTGAGTCACTTCTTGCTTGCTGCTCCAATTTCAACATAGGTAGGCTTCACGTCGATTATGATCGGCGTTACTTCCAGGTATGTTTATCGGTGGTGCCCAATCCTCGTCTTTTAAAGTATGCTGAAACCTATTTAATCGCCCTGTTTGATTATTGTCGGGAGGCCGATCTTCAGCAGCGAGCTTATTGGTGCTAGGCTTTCCGGATATATCACCCCCCTTCAGAATGAACGGTTGCACGCGGACGGCCCTAGACAGCATAACGATTGCCACCAGCACTCTGTCCGCCGTTCGCACGACAGGAAAGCAAGCCAATCCTCACTAACCGAATCGATATAGGCTGTAAGGAAAGTAGTAAAACAATTGTGCATATCCATGCCTCATCCCGTTAGTAAAAGAAAAGTGGCCACGAGAGCCACCTCAATTGCAATTGCATATAGTCATCTCTTCCAACTTTGATATTGGCTTTGATTCCACCTGACAATTGAGACCAGAGGATCTTGACCGACCAGTAGACTATGTGACATGGATTAATTCCTTCTTTTTATCCTTAAATACACCAGGCAAGGGGGCCCCATCCAACTCTGATGCGACCCCCGTGGCTCCCTCAAAGCCAACCTTCAAGGTCGTGAAGGGCAATAAGCCCGCCGGAGCTGCAGCGGGAGAAAGTAAAGCAGCGCCAGCAATTCCGGGTGAGGATGCCCCAAGGCCTGTTAAGTCTTCGGGCGCAAAGAAAAAGGCCGACACAGCAGCCCCTCCTTCCGACGGTCTACCCAGGGAGCAGCTCTGGTCCGACGACGTCTTAGAAGCCAAAATCGCCGAGTAAGAACCTGTCCTTTTGAATGTCTGCAATGTCTAAGCAGTAAAGCTCCATCCAGCGTAATTAATTCCAGAACCCCATCAATTACAACGCAGTATGCTTCGTTGCTTTTAAGGTTGACATGCAAAACCCTTGGGTAGTTGCTTTCTTAGAGCCCACCACCGTCATTACCTTCAAGTATGACACTACAGGGCTCATGTCCGTTTCCTTCGCTTGGAGACCGAAATCTTTCCTAGTGGTCATGGCTGAAACATAATGCATTCCTATCTGAGCCGTACTTTTGTGCCAAAGGAAAATACGTTTCGTTATTGCTAGATTCGCACACAGACCAGTCCTCCTCGGTCACCTGTAGTTGGAAAACATCTTTTCACTCCGTTCTCTTGAGCATGTTAGTAATTAAAAGTGCCTGTTTCGTATTTGCCGTTCACATTCTTGACCGCTCGGTCAGATTCAAGGTCTACCTGCTTTTAGTGTTTAAGTCGTATGTCGCCGATGCCACGCATGCTTCTGATGATAACAGCGTAGATGGGAGGGAAGGCCTACCTAGCAAACAGACAATGATAGAACTGGAGTAACGAGGACCCCCATCACCTTGCAAAGCAGATTTGTTCGCACCAGGCCGCTACGATGGATAATCCCCCACTGGAACCATGTTAAACAACGTAAAGTCAGTTGCAGTCTTGCACTGGCTCTCTTCGACTAATTTAAAAAAAAATATGTAGGGTTTTCATTGTAATGACGCACTGCCTGATCTTACATAACTTAGTCTCTGTTTACTGCGCACGTGACCCAGCTGCGAAGCCATGGTTTTGAGATTTGACCGGGGACTCCGCAGTCTCATCGCCCATTTTTGTCATTACAACTTAATGAGTAACTTCTTTTTCACACTGACATGACGCGCCTTTTGGGAACGCCAAGTCTGTAGCGGTTGTTTGTGATCCACGTTTTGTCGGCATGATGCGTAACGGGGCTCGCAACAGAACTTCCTATCGCCAGAACAGAAGACGTGCAAAGTTCTCCTCGACCATGTGCCCTCAAGGGCGTTATAAGACATCAACGGAAATAGAGTTCTTTGCTGCACGCTTCGCAAGGACTTGAATGCATTCGGCCGCCCAGAAGCTTGCTTTTCACAGACTTCAATATTAATAGGTATAATTTGTTTCTTCCTATCTTTCATCTCATCGATCAACTGGCTTGTTAGAGACACGAGTCCAAAAGAGTGTGAACTCGACCCCAGGTCTCCGTGGCCTGCCGTCGTAATTTTACTGCTCACTATCCTCTCTTCCTAGCTTCACGTACTTAACAACTGACTAAACAGTCCTAAGAAACCTCTCCTTAAATCCGCGTAAAAGCGGAAGTCAGTTGGCAGCTAGTGCCCACGATGATAGATCGAATTATTTAGCCACATCCTTGTGTGTAGAGCCATAGTTTCAGTTGCGCTCTCTAGGGAATTCACATGTTGCACTCCATCCCCTTTTACGCTGCTCCACTGGTGAATATGCAAATTAAGGTATGCGTAACAGTTGACTTTCTCGAGCTCCCCACCATCCATGCGGACTGACGGCACGCCTCGGTGTCCAGTCGTTGAACTTCAGCCAGCGTATTCCATCTTTTAGGGGCTGCCCAAGACTTAGCTTGGCCTCAGCTGTACCAATTTCCCTTTAAATGCTTTTTTTACTATTCCATCCTATATGAGTCGTGGCCATTGATTAGTCGCACCTGGTTGCTGTTTGTTTCCTCCCTGTTTGTGGGCTTAAGCTTTTTGACTAACCAACTTCATCTCCGTCATAATTGACCTTTTAGAGCCTACGCAGAGACCCTTATAGCCCAGCTCGCCTCGGCCGTATGGAAGGAGCGTCTTGAGGCTATGGAGACCCTTCGCAACAGCGTTACTAAGATGCCACCGGAACAGCTTTCCTGTCAACTTATTTGTCGCCTTCTCCTGAAGAAGCCTGGCCTCAAGGACAACAACTTTCAGGTGTGTGTGTGTGAGGCCTGAAGTCGGTAAACGTCTTTTTTTACACACAACCAAAGTCAGGGTTTTAGACCTTGGCCTCGCTCGAGGATTCCGGTGTGAGTCTCAGCAGTTCGGATTAGCAGCATTCATTATTGACCTTAATTGCACGGCCAGTCAGGTCAGTCTAGGCTAGATACGAACGTCGGGTAGTCAGAGGTTAAAATGGTTATCACATGTTTTTCTGTGACCGGTTCACATATGTAGCCTATCTTACTGCATTCTCTGACAACCAAGGAGGCGCAGTCTTCACAACCCATTGCCGTACCCTGGATTGACAACTTCAGTAAGGATGACGCCACTTAACTTTCACTGCCCGCCCTGTGTCGCGTCCTGTCAAAATTCTGTCTAACCTACACCACGCCTACTTCATCTATGTGATAAGCACAGCTACGGTGGTGCTACTCATCCTGGCAATTCGATTTGCATAAGAAAGTTCCGGTTACTTTACACAGAACTGGTAGAAGGGCGCTCACCAATCGCGCCCGTTGTGTCTTGGGACTCGCCCTCGAGCCCCGCCAGCAGCCGCACAGGGGCGCATTATATAGGCAGAAGTTAAAGGAAGTGTTCCATACCTCAGGGTTGGTTATGACTGGCTGACGACGGCTAATAAGCCATAAATGGCCATTCCAGTCTCCCTTGTCTTTGTCGGTAATGACATTCCGCCTATATCATGCGGCGCTGTGTGGCTGCCGGTTGTGCTCGAGAGACAGCCCGTAAGGCACAACGGAACGAGGGAGTTCCGTAAGAACCATCGGTGAGCGCCCTTCCACCATCGTATATTCCCGGTCGAAACCGATAGGAAAACAAGCCCGTGGCTCAGTGGTTAGAGGCGTTGGACTTCTAACAGGTCGCGATTTCGAGCCCCAGGTGTTCCACACCTCGGGGTTGGGTATGGCTGACTGACGACGGCCAATAAGTCAGAAATGGCCGTTCCCCTCTCCCCTATCTTTGCCGGTTATGCTATTCTGCCTATACAGGACGCCCACCGAGAATGTTTGAGATGCAGGCAGTGTTCTTACATGCTTGACTAATGCAAAACTACTACATCCGTCCAGATGTGGTCACTCTCACAGTCTTCTTTTCCTCCAGAAATGGCCAGTCATCAAAACTTAGCTTGGAAACACACGAAGCCATCAGTACTCATAGGAATGTTGCGTTATTTTTGTCGCTTGTACTTCCCACTGGCTTGCACGCATACCCTACTCTTGTAATTAGTCTGGCTCGATATCATCTAGATTTTTTTCGACTGTTTTTTTTCACTTTCATAACTTTGACCATACCAAACTCCACTGCTGTCAATGACTTTCCGTAAAAGTATACATAGCAACATGGGGTGCCTTTTGTTGAGGCTGATCTTTACATTGTCTGCCCTGTCGTCTATATTTTTCTCACACAATT